TGGGCTGGTGGGAGGTGGGAGAGGGGACAGTCATTGACTGTACTTCCTTTCTTCTTGCAAAAGAAGTGCACTGTGCAGAAAATGTAGAAAACAAGCAAGCCAAAAAAGAAAAAAACAGAATAGTCACCCTCAACTCTGCCACCAAGTTCACATTTTTGGGTATCCTTCTTGATTTCTTCCTGCACATACACCCGTACAACATGGAATCCTACAGCACGTTTCCTTTTAAAAACTGCCCCTTTCACTCAACAATGTATTCTAATCATCATTCCAGGTCAGCAGATGTGGCCCTAAGCCCAGCGTTGTAAAGAGGTGCAGAGAATGCCACTGTGTAGAACGAGCCTGCTTTTTATCTTTTTTTTTTTAAGCACATCCATTTAATTTCTTTATTCCAACTATACCCTAATTTGCTACTTGCAGTTAAGATTCAATTTCATCTTCCATTTTGGTACAAGGAAAGCCCTGTCTCATTAGTGAATGTTTGTAACCCTTCCTCCCCACTGGGCACAGGGTTAGCAGGCTGCCCTAAGGCATCCTCACTGCCTTGGGCTAGACACTCCCTTCCGCTTCACAGCTTGAAGGCTGGGGTTTCTCAGAGCTTTGGCATTTCATCATTCACTTTCCTTCAGAACCCTGAAAACAGAAGATATAAAGGAAGCAGAAGAAAAATTGTTGTCATTATTATTGAGTCGCTTCATACCATCGTGGTTAAGAAAGTGCGAACTCTGCAGCCATCCTACCTGACTTTAAACTCTGGCCCTGCTTCTGACGAGTTTTGAGAATTTAGGCAAGTTACTTAACTTCTTCAGGCCTCACTTTCCTCATCTGTAAAACGGGGATAACTTCATACGGTATTAAAAGAATTCAAATTATAATGTATCTGGCACAGTGTATTATTATAAGTTTTTTGTTAAATAAAATTTTAAACATATATAAATCCTTGTCGTCCCCTGTCATATAATGTCTAATTTTCTGAGCGTTCTAGGTTTAGGTCGTCTTCCCAACCTGACTATTTGCTTTTTTCTTTTTTACAATTTAAAAAAAAAAAATTGCTGTTGTTGAGAATATATACAACAAAATATACATCAATTCAACAGTTTCTACGTGTACAATTTAGTAACATTGATGACATTCTTCAAGTTGTGCAACCATTCTCCATTTCTTTTTCTGAGTTGATCCTCCCCTATTAACATACGCGCACTGCCCGCTAAGGTTGCTATCTAATCTTTCCAGTTGCTGTTGTCACTTTGATCCCATATAGATAGTTCCTAAAAGAGTGTAATGCTCAAGGCAGACATTCTTTACTAGTTAAGCTAAATTACTGTTTGATGTTAAGAAAACTTCAGGGGATACTCTTGGTTTAAGTTTAAAGGTTATCTCAGCACAATAGTTTCAGGGGTTCATCTACCCTCCATGGTACCAGGAAGTCTAGAGTCCATGAAAACTTGAAATTCTGTTCTGCATTTTCCCTCTTACTTCTGTATTTTAAAAGAGTACTCGCTCCAATAGAGAGAAGTGGGAATGATGCCCATCAAAAGGTACTCCAGGGATCTATCTCTGGAGAGTGGATAATGGGCTATGACTCAGTGCCACATGCAAAGCCCAGGATCCAGCAATTCCACGTCTGGTTTTCTAGAGAGCTTTGATGTGTGTGCTCAGGGATCAGGAAAGGAGTTGGCTGCAACACTGGTCCCAACGGCAAAGCATGAGAACAACCTAGTGTTAGCCAAGAGGGCGAGGGCTGGATAAACCAGGACACCTCCAGATGGGGGAAAGAAGGAGTTAGGTTTGCTTTCCTTTCTTTCTGGTATATAGATACAGAAATAGAGAGGTTGAGGGCTCTAGGGACCAGGGTCTCAGGGAACATTTAGCTTAATTGGCGTAACATAGTTTATAAAGAAAATGTTCTACATTCTACTTTGGTGAGTAGCGTTGGGTCTTAAAAGCTTCTGAGCAGCCATCTAAGATACTCCACTGGTCTCACCCTATCTGGAGCAAGGGAGAATGAAGAAAACCAAAGACACAAGGAAAAGATTAGTCCAAAGGACTAATGGACCACAACTACCACAGCCTCCACCAGACTGTGTCCAGCACAACTAGATGGTGCCCGGCTACCACCAGGGACTGCTCTGACAGGGATCACAATAGACAGTCCAGACAGAGCTGGAGAAAAATATAGAAAATTCTAACTCACACACACACATGCAAAAGACCAGACTTACTGGTCTGACAGAGACTGGAGAAACCCTGAGAGTATGGCCCCCGGACACCATTATAGCTCAGTAATGAAGTCACTCCTGAGGTTCACCCTTCAGCCAAAGATTCAGACAGGTCCATAAAACAAAATGAGACTAAAGGGACACACCAGCCCAGGGGTAAGGGCAAGAAGGCAGAAGGGGACAGGAAAGCTGGTAACGTGGAACCCAAGGTCGAGAAGGGGGGAGAGTGTTGACATGTCGAGGGATTGGCAACCAATATCACAAAACAATTATGTGTATTAATTGTTTAATGAGAAACATGTTTGCTCTTTAAACCTTCATCTAAAATACAGTAAAAAATAAAAATAAAAATAAAAATACAGAGCAATACAGAGGATATCAAAGAAGTCCTGAAGAAGGGCACTTAATACAGTCTACAGAGGTCAGGAGAAGCATCTTGGAAATGATGTTTGAGATGCATATTTACATATGGTTAGGCGTAAACACAGCACAGGGAACTGGAAGGATGCTGGATAGTATAAGTGAGGGCACAAAGGCAAGGAACAGGATGATCAGCACAGACGACCACAAGTAGTTCACAGTTGCATGCTACAGACCTGCTAAGTGAGAATCCAGACCAAGTGCAAACACTTCCTATAATACACCCTGTCCCAAAGCATGAATTCCTCCCCAAGAAAAAGAGAGAGGGAGATAACATAATACACATACATATACACACACACCTTTTTTCCCTACAACACACACACATTTACATTTTTTTCCCTACAGCAAACTTTTCTTCTTGCAAAATGAAAATAAGACTTTTTCTTATATAATAAAAAAAGAAGTCCCCGTGAGCCCCTTGGCAACCCTCTGGGCCCAGGTGGCCCCTTGCACACTCACCATGGTGATGCTGACGGCGTCTTCATATTCCTTGGTGAGCACACTCACCATGGCCGAGCCCAGCAGCAGCAGGATCAGGGGGTTTTTAAACTAGAAAATGAAAAACAGGGCAGTGAGGTTCTTTCCTATTAGTTTATTACTGGCATCCCATGGTGCAAACAGTTAAGCGCGCTCAGCTGCTAACTGAAAGGTTAGTGGTACGAACCCACCCAAAGGTGCCTCGGAAGACAGGCCTGGAGATCTGCTTCCAAAAGGTCACAGCCTTGAAGACCTTATGGAGCAGTTCTTCTCTGCACACATGGGGTCACCATGAGGTGGAGTCGACTCAGCAGGAACAAGTTTGGTTTTACTGGTTTTTATGTGACTCAGTCATTCAGTCAAGGCCAGTCTTCCAGGCCAACACTAGAATGACTGAAGGCTAAGGGAGGAAGATGACGACCATCCCAAAGTCCTCCCCGACCCACCTGTGATCCCCCCATTACAGTTTCATTGACACTGGCTTCCCAGGGGTCATGATGACACTGTCCCTGAAACAGACTTTGCCATCCCCCATCACCACACCAGCCCAGGCCCGTTTTTAAGTTGTTGGTCTCTTCTCCCTATATCTTCATGACACTATAGGCCAGGATCTATCCCTTCTGGCAGGACACCAGCCCTGGTCGAGCATGGCTAAGTGGATCTCCTCTTACTACTTCCAGTCCCCAAAATCCTACATGTCCCAATTGTCCAGCCTTGGGCACTAACTTGCTAATGCAAACAGCCCCCTGGGGCTCCAATTATGTCCTTCTTGAGATCAGCTGCTCTGAAAACATACTGAAAGGATTTTATTGTTTTATGTATCTGCCCCCTCATCTCACAGATACATTTCACGGTGGGTCGTGTTATAGACAATTGAAAGGAAACACAAACACAAACGCATAAAGACAGGATCAGAGAGAAGAGATCAAAGATCAGGGTCAGGGAGAGAGCCAGAATGTTAGACAGCAAATCATGATTGTTAAAATAGGGCTGCATGTTTGGCTCTGAGCTTCCCAGCAGCCAAAGCAAAAGGGGAAATGTGATCAGAAGTGTCACCCACAGAAGGACCTTTCCACAAGAACTTGAGACCTGCATCAGATGATCCAAAGTTTCTGAGATAAACCTTACTCAATTAAGCTACATGCTTCTCTATATAGATGATGTCTTCAATATGTAAATAAACTGTCAGCTAACTTTGCAGACCTCTGTAAGCCTTTCCGTGAGCATGAATTCAGAGATTGAAAAATGTGCTTAGATTAAAACAACTTAAGAGGTACATCATCCTAAGGCAATGGATGGAATTTATTCAGACTCTGATTCTAACCAACTGCAAGAGGCATCTTTGAAGCATTTTAGGAAATCAACTATGGAGAATGCATTAGATGCCATTAATGAAGTGTTAATATTGTTAGTGGGATAACAGTATTGTTGTGGAAAGAAAGAGAACAAGCTGCACGAGAACGTTCATGTGAAGGAAGAAGCTAACAGTGGGTTTTGACAAGGCAGCAGAAGGAAGGAGAACACCCAGTGAAAATGAAAAAGGAGTCTTAGAGGAAGGAGCATCCAGGGCAGAGTGGCTGGAGGAGGCTTTGTTCTTCTTGGTTTAGGCAAAGACGAGTCTCCGGTTGCAGAGCGGAGAGTGCCCCCCCACCACCAGAGCTTCAGTCTTATTCCCTGAACTCCAACTTCCAGAAGCCTGTGCTGCCTCTTCCCAACACTGGGTTCCAGGAAGCTTCTGGGCTGGCCGAGCAACCAGCATACCCACAAGCCCATTTCGAGGGAAAAATACATCAATGAATGCCATCCCTGATGTGCGGAGAATACAACAATGAACAGGGTGGGATTCAAGAAAGATGGAGGGAGGATGCCGCAAGGAAGGCTGTGATTGGTTCTTCAACAACCAATCAAGAAAGTGTTAACCACTGAGCCAATAGGAAGGAAACTGGGGCCGGAGAAGGGAAAGGGGTGGCGTGGGGAATGGAGGAAGGAGTGGTGCTGCAAAGGGCCAGGGAGGGGAAACTGAGGCTGTGTGATTGCCTTCAGCCTTCTGGGAAATTCTATCCATTGACTGGGGCTTTCTGAACTGGTAAGGGGTGAGTGGTGGGGGTGTTTGCTTCTAGTCTGGAACTTGCAGCCGTGTCTGCTTCACACTTTTCACCCCTTTTCCTAATGGCTTCCTGGCAGCTGACTTCTGCACCTTCCATTCAGAGCCATGGCAGCAGCTACAGCAGGGGCTAAGGACAGAGACTCTGGAGCCAGTTCGCTTTCCAGCACTGCCACTTACTGCTGTGTGGCGTTGGATTGGGGTTGCCAGATAAAATACAGGAAATCCAGTTACATCTGAATTTCAGACAAATAAGGAATAATGTTTCAGTATATATATGACCATGCAATATTGTGGGGCATGTCTATACGAAAAAGTTATTCCTTGTTTATCAGAGATTCAGATTTAACTGGGTGTCCTGTATTTTTATTTGCTGAATCTTGCAACCCTATCAACCCTAGGCAAATATTTCAACCTCTGTATACTTCAGCACCTCATCTGTAAAATGGGGATGAAAATTGTTATTGTTAGCTGCCATCAAGTCAGCCCCCGACTCAGGGCGACCGCATATACAATGAAATGAAACGCTGCCCAGTCCGGTACCATCCCCATGGTTGGTTGGGGATCAGACTGTCTTAGTCTGGAAGCTTTGCTGAAACCTGTTCAGCATCACGGCAACATGCAAGACTCCACTGACAGATGGGTGGTGGTTGTGCTTGAGGTGCATTGGCTGGGAATTGAACCCAGGTCTCCTGCATGGAAGGTGAGAATTCTACCACTGAACCACCAGTGCCTCATGGGGATTATATTAGTATTTACCTAACTGGGCTATGAGAAGGACTAAGTTAGTACCTGTAAAGCACTTAGCATGACATCTGGCACGCAGTCAGTCTGCTATTAGTTGGCCACTGACATGCATGACCATGACTGCCTGGGTAGTTGTACGCATGGTTGTCCCTCCTGCTGAATGGGAGGGTGAGCCTTCTTTATCTTTATAGCACCCCTGTCCCACCCCTCAAGATCTGCCCAAGGACACCCTCAATCAATATTTAAACAAGGCATGACTCCCCAGCCCCCTGGCTTAGGCTGGTCAGAAAAGTGCAGACATGACACCTGGGGCCCTACCTGGTCAAGGTATTTCTTCCACACGGGTTCTGTATTGTTGGCAACAAACTCGTTCCAGCCATGGACCAGCCTGCGTTGTGTCACTGAGAACTCTGACAGCCCATTCTCCAAGTCCACCTAGAGGAGACGGTCAAGACCAAGTTCACCAGTGGGCCCTGTGAGGACCAAGGAGCTCGAGTCACAGAATCCCCACCCTGGAACCAGCTTCTCTGATGATGACAAATATGAGCTTGTCCACAAAGGAGAGGGAATTTATTCAAAGACTCCCGACAGTGCAGTTTAATTATTCTGCACTAGAGTTCCTGGGTGGTACAAACAGTTAAGGGCTTGGCTGCTAACTGAAAGGTTGGTGGTTCAAGTTCACCCAGAGGCATCTCGGAAGAAAGGCCTGGTGATCTACTTCCAAAGAAAATCAGCCACTGAAAATCCTATGGAACACAGTTTTACTCTGACACACGTGGGGTCGCCATGAGTTGGAATTGACTGAATGGCAACTGAAAAACAAACAAAGAAACAAACAGAAAACTGCCCTAAGGTTATAGCAAAATGAATATCTCCGGCCTAAATTTCAACAAATGGAATTAGACATGGAATTCCAGAAATGCAGAAACACTTATCCTTTTTTCTTTAAAAAAATAGGCCTGTCCTTAGAAACAATAATAGCTAAAACTATTATATCACGCCTATATTGTCTAGTCATGGCTCCAAGCTCTTAACGTATATTTACTCATTAAATATAACTAATTTAAGAGTCAAGCATAGTGTAAGGGAATGCTGTTGTTCTGATCTCAGCAAAGGTATTCTTGTTTTTAAAAACTCAACAACGAGAAAGTTCCACTCGGAGATAAATGTGTGCAGGAGGCGAGGGGAGCTGAACTCATGTTAGATTCTTTTGAATAGAGAAAGAAAATCAGGCTCATTCACAGAGAAAATGTCTAGGCAGAGAAAAAAATATTTCCTCCCTCTCTCGGAATACACGCAGGCCTTGAATTTAAATAGATGTCTAGATTATTCTCAAGGAAAGCTGGCGTGAAGTACTGCCTTCCAACTTGCTTGAAGTTGTGACACGGGCCCCATTCTTGGCAGATTTTTGTTTTCCAAAAGTGTGGTGGGTTATGAGTACACACACACACACACACCATTATGTTTGCTCAGTTTTCTAAGTAAAGAAAATTAAAAACAAAAACAAGCAATGTTCTTCCGCCTCAGCCTTGGCTGATTGCGGGTGTTACTTGTCTTGCACTGGACAGCAATTCAAATTCATTTGAGGAGCCTGTGAAAATTTGGTTGAAGTAACTGGCCACACTATGGATTATAAAAGACAAAAGATGGGACTAAAGGATGGTTGCAGAGTTTGAGTTTTGATGACAAAATACTTGGATTCAACAACAGGCTGTGCTACTTCCTAACTGTGTCAACCTGGGCAAATTACTTCATTCCCTATGCCTCCGTTTCATCATCTGCAGATGAGAGGATTAAGACAATAATGTGTAGAGTGTTTGGAAGGAGAACGTTGGGAAGAATCACTACTGACGACCACGACAATGATACGGTCCACGCTGATAGTATTTTCTAACAATGCTAATATAAACGTTTTACAACATAGAATTTCAAGGCAGTTTTGGAGGCTTTTTGTGTTGCTCTTTTTGATCTAAACACCTTATTGTAATCAATGTTAGATGCAAATTCAATTCTTACGTAAAATGCTTTGGCCAAGTCTTCTTTGTTGCATTTGCATGCTTCCTTGGGTGGCAGAGGTACCACCAGCTTATCTTTTTCGATGGCTTTCAACTCACATTGTTCATCAGTCTGTGAGAAAAAAAACAGGACTGTGGTTAAGCAGGTTAGAGTTTTGTACCCATGCGGCTTTTCAAACTCTAACATACATAGAGAAAGTGTGTGTATCATACGCGTACAGCTCACGTTTTCATAAACTAACACATAAATAGCTCCCATTTCAAGAGACAGATGTTGCCAGCTCCCAGAAGTTTCCTCGTGCCCTGGCCAGCCTACCCAACCCAAGAAGGGTAAACACTATCATGCCCTTTATTACCTTAGATGAGTTTTGCTCGAGTTTGAACGTTATATATATATGGTGGTGGTGGTGGTGGTGTTAGGTGCTGTCGAGTTGATTCCGACTCACAGCAACCCCATGTGACAGAGTAGAACTGTCCCATAGTGTTTTCTAGGCTGTAATCTTTACGGGAGCAGATGGCCAAGTCTTTTCCTGTGGAGCCGCAGGGTAGGTTCAAACCACCAACCTTTCAGTTAGCAGCTGAGCACTCAGCCATTGTGCCACCAGGGCTCCGTATATAAATGATAACATACAACACATACTCTTGTGAGTGGTTTCTTTCGCTCAATGTTGTTGGTGCAATTCATGCATGATGTTGCATGTAGCAATGGTTTACTCATTTTCACGGCTGCAGGGCATTCTGTTAGACGAATGTATCACAATGTATTTATCCACTCTACTGTTGATGGACATTCGGGCTGTTCCCAGGTGTTGGTATTACTGACATATCTCTTTTTGAGCAAATTTATTAAACAGAATTGGAACTTACAAAGCTGACAAAGCAAGGTGACAAGTTACATATTCAGAACAAAGAACCCTGAATGTCTGAGATTCTCAGTAAGTATATACATTAGAGGGTGCCCCCTGCTAATGATAGGTGGCATCACAGCCTTGTTCTATGAGACGTTTTAAATAACCCAAGGAAAGTGGGAACACAGCCAAGTTCTGGGAGAATGAGTGAGCATTCCGTGTTGAGATCCACAGGCCTGGGGAGAAGCCATATGAAACACCTGGAGGGGTTGGGAGGATAGATACTACAGAGGAGACTCAGACTCAGGAAAGTGCTAGGTGTTTTTGCAACATTATTCCTAGTATTCTGATACCTAGGACATGATAATCATCTTTTCCTTTTCAATCAGACTGTTGGGGACTGGGAAAGGGGAATGAGAGAATGACGTATTGACTGACCTCTTCCTTCAGCTGGAACAGAGATTGCAAAATTCCTCTTTCCCTTTCTGCACCTTCTTTCCTCCCTCAATACACAAATGATCCCTCAAATGCCTAGTTTGCTTAGAAAAGCTATGTTAACCACCTCCACTTCCAGGAATTGCTTTGGAGTTATGCTCAATGTTCAGGAAGCACAATAACAATTACATGGACCATTCAACAGGTTCCTCTGTTTGTTGGGAGCTTTCCTTGTGTCAGCACTGTGTTCTTTATTGTGCAAGAATCACTGCTGATCTTGAAATGTACATTTCAAAAAGAGAGAATTTTTTCCCACCCTCAAGATCTGGTTCAGTTTTACCAAATAAAGTGCTCTATTCTTGCCCACACCACAATGGGAGACAGTCCTGGGGCTTGAGGACCTGCCCCTGCCCCCTGCTATTCTTGGTCTTGCTATGTCTTTCCCGCCAAGACCACACCAAATCCATTTTTCGCACAGCAGCCTGAGACTCTGAGATATATAAATCCAATCATCACATACACACAAGAGTCCTGGCTGAGCCTATAAATAACTCCTACGACCCAGCAATTCCACTCCTAGGTATATATTCAAGAGTATTGAAAGCAGGATCTTAAACAGATTCTTGTACACCAATATTTACTACAGCATTATTCATAATAGCCAAAAGGTAGAAACAACCCAGTGTTCATCGAGAGATGAATGGGTACACAAAATGCGGTATATACACATACAATGGAGTATATTATTCAGCCATAAAGAGAAATGAAGCCCTGATACATGCCACTACATGGATAAATGAACCTTGAAAACATAATGCTGAGTGAAATAAGCCACACACAAAAGGACGTATATCATATGTTCCCACTTGTGTGAAATATCTAGAAAAGGCAAATGCATACAGACAGAAGTTTATTAGCAGTTACCAAGGGTGGGGGCAGATGGGTGGAGAGTTATGGCTAAAGGGGTGCTGAGTTTCTGTTTGGGGTGATGAAAAACTTTTGGAAATGGATAGTGGTGATGGTTGTACAACATGGTGAATGTAATTAACGTTGCTAAATTGTATGCTTAAAAATGGTTAAAAGGGCAAACGTTTTGTTATATATATATTTTACCATAATAAATTTTTTTAAATGAACAATTCCTTAATGTCAAATATCCAGTTCATGTTCAGACCTCCAACTGTCTCAAACATTTTTACTTTAACCGTTTGTTGATCAGGATCCAAATAAAGTTTACACAATGTGGTTACCGGATGTTTTGTTTTAGCTGATGTTCTTCCCCTTTGGAGTTTATTTGTTGAAGAAAATCTCATTCTTTTGAATGTTTACTTTGTTACGTGTTTATGGAGTATAGAATTTATAGCAGTATATGTAAACTATAGTTTATAGAAAACAGTATCTTGGGGATATATGTACAAGTTGTTCTCACTGGTAGGAAGGCATGATCAGAAATTGTCAAAGACCAACAGGACTGGCCGATGGAACTGACCCCACCACACCAACCACGTCTCTGTCGCCATCCTAGTCCAAGCTGTCACCAGAATCGCAGCCCTCCATTATGGGTGGTTTTGTAAATTTAGAGCCCCTGGGTGGCACAAATGGTTAAATACTCAACTACTAGCTGAAAGGTTGGTGGTTCGAACCCACCCAGAGGCACAGAGGAAGACAGGCCTGGTGATCCGCTTCTGAAAGGCCACAGCCTTGAAAACCCTATAAAGCAGTTCCGCTCTGCACACGTGGGGTCACCATGAGTTGAAATGGACTCGATGGCAACTAACACCAACTGTAAATTTGACACCCCCTGCTCCCACTGTGCTCTGGAATTACAGATGTGGGATCACATGCCTCTGTCTCCCTCAAATTCTTCTCTCACCATCCCAGAACCATTGTGCACCATCGTGCCTTATCTGACACCAGGGTGTCCTGGGCATACAACTTCCCTGCTGACCTGCTTCCCCTCTCCATCTCTGCCTCTTCTCTCCCTTCTGTCCCTTGTCTGTCTGTCTCTCTCATCTCTCTTCCCCCCTTCCCTCCTTCTCCCCCTCTCCCTACCTGCTTTCTCTGGATGGAACAGGTACTCACCCACCTGACAGTTTTCTCTCCTGGCTTCCAGCCACCAGCCCTGGAGACCTCTCTCACCAAGCCCCCCGCCCCCGCAGACCTCTGGCCCTGAGAAGGTCCAGGAACCTTCACCTGACACCGCTCTGTCTCCCCAGGGCAGGAGGCTTCTCCGTCTGGCCAGACACCTCTCTCCAGTACCACCTCATCACCTTTCTCAAGAAGCCCTCGCTGCCTGGGGCTACCTGTTTATGGCTCACTCCCCAGCCAGGCCAGATCTAATTCTCAGAGCCCTGGGCTCCTCTCACTGCTCCCCACCATGTCTAGAGGCCACCTGTCTGGCCTCACTCCCGGGACCTGCCCTTCACAGGAACAGCAACACTCGGGGACATGGCCAGGTGCCGGCATGGAAAACGGCCAAAAAATAGTATAGCTCTCAGCCTGCCTTCAGGAGCCCACAGTTGGCCCCAGGTGGGCATATTAAAATTGCACTGGCTGGGCAAGGTAAGCCCTGGGTTCGAATCCCAGCTCCTCCCTCTGGAGACACTATGTGGTATTTCCGAAACCCAGTCCATGTCCTGGCCCTGACATGACTGGATGGTGTAACCTTAGGTGAGACAGCTGCCCTTTCTGAGCTTCAATTTTCTTCTCTGTAAAGAATAAAGAGGTGGGTGGCTGGGCGGTGAGGAGGAAGGGCAATGGCTTTGCCTCCAAGGTTGTCATAGGATTAAATGAGATAAAGTATGTAAGCACAACAACAGCTAGCTCTAAGTACTTATCGTACCTGTCCTACACCTGTTGCTCACCTAATAATAAAGAGCTGAAGTTTATGTGGTTTTTTGATGATTAGCCTGTATGCCAGTGCTTATATAACCTCTGAACTTCAAGATCCTCATTGTAAAACTGGGACGATAATTCACATGTGACAGGGTCATTTTGAGATTAAAAAAACACCTCTGTAAATGCACCTGGCTGTGGGATGCACTCAGTGAATGTTCCAGAAGGGATCAGTAGCCTAAAGAACCTAGCCGGGCAGAGGATAGCTTCTCTCTGTGAACCTGTCCTGTAGGGGAACCATACCCCCGAGCTTCTCTGAGAGGTGGCATTTCCACAGTGGGTCTAGAAGATGTGTAAATGCTTGAAATTGTGTTTTTAGTGAATATTGTGACTGCAGGTAGGAAAACTGTGAACCTGTAAAAAACCACCCCCTTTGATTTGTGTTTGACACTTGTCTCAAATAATTTCTCGTGTTTAAAGCAAAAAAGGATCACAGGAATCCACAACCCCTGTCCTGTGTGGGTTAGGACTAGCAGGAGCCCCACCCTTTTGCAGGTAGTCCTGCTCCCTGCCTGTCCACCCTACCTCCTGGGGAGCCAGCCACGTGGCTGGAGGAGGCCTGTGTAGCTAAGCGGAGGGGCCAGAACATGGCAGGGTGCAGGCAGCAAACGCTGCAGGGCTGAGGAAAGGCCGTAGGAGAGCCCAGGCAGCCTGGGGGGCGCTGGCAGAGGAGACTCTCACACTGTGTCCTATGACCACGTGGGCAGCCTAGAGCCCACAAAGAAGACCTTGCCTGTGACTTCACTGTGTAAGGAAAAACCGTTTACACATTGTTGTTATTGTTAGTTGCTGTCTTAGTCATCCAGTGCTGCTACAACAGAAATACAAGTGGATGGCTTTAACAAAGAGAAGTTTATCTCTTCACAGTAAAGTAGGCTAAAAGTCCAAATTCAGGGCGTCAGCTCCAGCAGAAGGCTTTCTCTCTCTGTTGGCCTTCTCGTCAATGTTCCCCTGGTCCAAAGGACGCGCCCTGCTCCCAGCACTGCTTTCTTGATGGTATGAGGTCCCCCTGTCTCTCTGCTCACTTCTGTCTTGTATCACAAGACATTGCCTCAGGACACATTCCAGTCCTGTAGATCAGGTCCTGCCTTACTAACACAACTGCTGCCCATCCTCCCTCATTAACATCATAGAGGCAGGATTTACAACATACAGGAAAACCGCACAATACCAGGAATCATGGCCTGGCCAAAGCGATACACACATTTTTTTGGGGTACATAATTCAGTCCATGACAGTTGCTATTGAGCCAGCTCTGACTCATGGTGACCTCATTTACAACAGAACAAAACGTTGCCTGGTCCTGCGCCATCTTCATAATTGTTGGTATGCTTGAGTCCAGTGTTATGGCTATATTTACATACTACTAGTACTATATTTATGGAGACCTGATGGCACAATGGTTAAGTGCTCAGCTGCTAAATGAAAGGTTGGTGGTTCAAACCCACCAACTGCTCCCACAGGAGAAAGGACCTGGAGATCTGCTCCAGTAAAGATTACAGCCTAGGAAACCATATGAGGCAGTTCTACTCTGTCATATAGGGTCACTATGAGTAGAAATCGACTCAATGGCACACAACAGTACTATACTTACACACCTACTACTATTTACTCACTACTAGGTACATATCCAGGAGCCCTGGTGGTGCAGTAGTTAAGAGCTCAGCTGCTAACCAAAAAAGTCAGCAGTTCAAATCCACCAGCCGCTCCTTGGAAGCCCTATGGAGCAGTTCTACTCTGCTCTATAGCGTCACTATGAATTGGAATCGACTTGACAGCAATGAGTTTGGTTTTGGTTTTGGTTAGGTACATACCCAGAAGAATTGAAGATAGATTCTCAAATACATGTACACACATGTTCATTACAGCACTTTTCACAATAGCCAAAAGGAGGAAACAACCCAAACGTCCATCAACGGATGAATGGATACACAGCATATGGTCTAACCACACAATGGAATATTACTCAGCCATAAAAAGGAATGAAGTTCTGACACATGCTATGACATGGACAGACCCTGAGAACATTATGCTGAGTAAAAGAAGGCGGACACAAAGGACGCACATTGTATGATCCCATTTATATGAAAGTCTAGACCAGATAAAGCCACAGAGATGGAAAGCAGATTAGCAGTTGCCAGGGGCCAGGGATGGGGAAAATGGGGAGAGACGGCTAATGTGTATTGGGTTTCCTTTTGGAATGATGAAAATGTCTTGGAACTAGATAGAGGTGGTGGTCATACAACATTGCAAATGAACTAAATGCCCCAGGATTGTTCACTTTAAAATGGTTAATTTATGTCATGAGAATTTCACCTCAATAAAATAAAAAAAGAATTTAAAAGACAAAGCTACTTACAAGCCATAGACAGGAACTCCCTCCAGACCCTTGAACTAGCCTGTATCCCCATTGACCCCCTCCTGGGTTCCACCTGCATTAGGTCTCAGGCCTGCCTCCTCTCCCCGCCTTTCTCCCCTTCTTTGCCCTCCCCAGCTGGCTTTTAAACAACCAGAGCCCTGTCTTTGCTCTCTCCCCACTGGCTCCCCCCATGAACATTTCCATGCAGGTTTCCATGGTAAACCTAACCTCCTCTCTGGCCTTTGCTTTGGAGATGCACCCTTTCACTACTCTCATGCACCAAAATCAGCTTGTGGAAGAACTGGTCTACACTCACTCCCTCCACTTCCTCACCTCCACCCACTTCAATCGGGCCACCATGGCTCTTCTGTGTTCCAGGCAGCTGGGACGCAGCCCTGGACCCGAAACATCGTGCATGAGGGCTCACCCTGTTTGCTCCAGTATCTCCTTTCTTGGAATGAAGAACCCTCAGGTTTGTGACTGAACAGATGGCCCTGGCCAACTTCGTGCTGCACCTGGTGGCTTCTTCCAGGAAGCTCCCGTTTTCCCCCGTCTCTCCCTAAGAGCACCCAGGAAGGGGGCATAATTTGCCCCGAGGTTGATTACAATCATGCCCACAGTCCTATAATCAGATAGCACTTAATAAATTCACTCTTTTCCTGACAATGGGATCCCTTGCCCTGTTTCAAGAAAATACAAAGACTCTGGTATACCACTCCACCTCCGTGCAGACACACACACACACACACACACACACACACTCCCTCTTTTCTCTCCAAACAGGCCCATGCTGTAGGTATTAGCTGCTGCTGAGTCGATCCCCTCACTCATGGGGACCTCATGCACAGCAAAACGAAACACTGCTGGTCCTGCACCATCTCCATAATTGGTAGCAGATCAGACTGTTGTGATCCATAGGGTTTTCACTGGCTGATTTTTGGAAGTAGAGTGTCAGGCCTTTCTTCCTAGTTTGTTTTAGTCTGGAAGCTCTGCTGATACCCGTGCAGCATCCAAACAACGTGCAAGCCTCCACCGACAGATGGGTGGTGGCTGCGCATAAGGTGCAATGGCCTGGAATTGAACCTGGGTCTCCCACATAGAAGGTGAGAACTCTTACCACTGAACCACCACTGCCCTCTAAATGGGCCCATAACAGCTGGTTATCAACACATTGATATGACCAAGAATGGCCCATCTAGAAGACAATATACTTAAAAATTGGAAATAAATTAAATGTTCATCCAGTTAAATGAACTGTTCTACACCTATCCTGTGGAACATCACACAGCCATGAAAAAGGAGGTGGTGGAACACCTGTTAGGAGGCTGTCTGGCCAAAGACAACAAGCCTGAGTCTGATCAGGCCTTTAGTCTAGCTCACATTGCGCAGCTAGTATAGAGGAAATACAGGAGACAGCAGAACATGCTAAATGATACCACTGAGATGCAACTCACAGGACTGTGAGCAACTGCAGCACAAACCACCAGCTTCTCCAACACAAACTGCAAAGGAGGGGAATCTAGAGATGTAGAGGCATAGGAGACTCTCAGCCAAATGCATTTCGCATCCTGATTTGAACGTACTGTGAAACCATATTTATGAGACCGTCAAGGAAAACTGAATATTGACTGGCTATTTGATAGTCCTTGATTCTTGTTAGCATTTTAACATGTGATGATGGTAACTGTGACTGTATTTTTTTAACAGTCCATATCTTTACAGATATATACAGAAATAGTTACAGATGAAGTTAAATGAAGTCTGAGATTTGCATAAAAAATAATCCAAGGCGGGGTTGGGGTACAGATGAACCAAGGCTGGCCATCTGTTCATAACCTGGTAACAGTGGGTGATGGAGCCATGTGGGTCCATGACACTATTTTATCTACTTTTGTAAATGACTGAAACTCTCCATAAAACAAAGTTAAAAAGAAAAGGAGAACTACAGGTGTCAACTGAGGGAGATGTCTTTGATATGTTACCAAAGAAAAAAGTAATTTGCAGGATAATCTTTATAGTATAGCCCCATTTTTGTAAAAGAAAAAATGTACACCTAAAAAAGATAGCTACATGCATGTGTGTGCATGTGTACAAATGTGTGCATGAATTGTGTGTGTGCACATATGTATGCATTTGCGTACTCACTGCATGTGTGTGTGCATGTGTGTGCATGTATGCATGCATTGTATGTGTGTGCATGTACAGGTATGTGCATGCATTCTCTGTGTGTGGGCGCATGTGCATGCATGTACACATGTTTGCATGCATTGCATGTGTGCATGAGTAGGGGTGTGTGTATGCATTGTGTGTGCACACGTGCATGCATTTGTGCATGTGTGTGCAAGTGTGTGTGTACATGCACATTTGTGTGACCACACCACAGGAGAAAGAGTGGGGAGATGACAGCAGCTGCCTCCCAGTGGTGGACTGTCATGGATTGAATTACTTCCCCCCACAAATGTGTGTATCAGTTTGGCTGGGCCATGATTCCCAGTATTGTGTGGTTGTCCTCCATTTTGTGACTGTAATTTTATGTTAAAGAGGATTAGGGTGGGATCCTAACACCCTTACTAAGGTCACATCCCTCATCCAATGTAGAGAGTTCCCTAGGGTGTGGCCTGCACCACCTTTTATCTTACAAGAGTTAAAAGGAAAGGGAAGCAAGCAGAGAGTTGGGGACCTCATACCACCAAGAAAGCAGTGCCGGGAGCAGAGCGTGGGATGCTGGGGTCCCTGGGCAGAGAAGCTCCTAGTCTGGGAGAAGATTGATAAGAAGGCTGACAGAGAGAGAAAGCCTTCCCTGGAGGTGACACCCTGATTTTGGACTTCTAGCCGACTTTACTGTGAAGAAATAAATTTCTCTTTGTTAAAGCCATCCACTTCTGGTATTTCCGTTATAGCAGCACTAGATGACTAAGACATGGACTGGAGTACAAGAGGGTTTGCCAGCTCATTTTTAGCTTGCAGATATCTGTATGGTTTGAATCACCAACGGGTTCCTTTAATAACAATGGCAGCACATCCTGCTTAAAGTCAGACACCCTCTGGAGCCCCCCTGCTTGTTGCTTCCTGTCAATCCTGATTGGGGCACAGCCAACCTTTCCTTCTCCTCTGTGACCCCAGAGACTATTTGCCTATGACCAATAGTCCTTCTGCTGGTGTGTCTGGGCTGGTGATGGTGAACTGGGCTTCTTAAGCCACTAGGAAATTGCCTAGCACCTAAGGCTGACTTAGAGTATTTTCACCAAGAAAAGACAACTTGGGGCTGATGTTTACATTGGTAGTGGCTTCTGAGGGAACCACACAAAGCAAATGTGGCCCTCAGTGAAAGACAGGGTGACTGAAGAAATGGACTGTGAGCTCATTGCAGACCACACGAGCATGTCAGCACCTGTGGGTGTACCAGCCTCACCTGAACCAAACCCTTGGCTTTACTTGCCTTCCTGTCCAGCACGAGAGCCAATTCCATTCAAACACTGAGCTAGACCCTTATGATCTCTTCCTTATCACAGGGGATTATATAACATATACTTGTCCTTGTGTCTCAGTTTCCTCATCTGGTAAGAGGGGATTTCACTAGCGTGGACTCCACAGAGTTGCTATGGAATAAAAGGAAATGATGACAAAGATATACATCATCAGTCATCAAGGAGATGCAAACGAAAACCACAATGAGATGCCACTTCACTCCCACCAGGATGGCTAAGATCAGAAAAATGACAAGTGTTGGTGAGAATGTGGAGAGATTGAAAACTCCATCCATTGCTGGTGGGACTGTAAAATGGTGCTGCCACTGTAGAAGATGGTATGGAAGTTCTTCAAAAAGTTAAACATAGAATTACCATGTGACCTGGCAATTCCACTCCTAGGTATACACTCAAACGAATTGAAAGCAGGGACTCAAACAGATACTTTACACCAACATTCATCGTGGCATTATTCACAACAGTCAGATGGTGGAAACAACCTAAGCGTCCTTCAACAGACGAATGGATAAACAAAATGTGATCTGTATGTACAATGGAATATTACTCAGCCAGTAAGGGAAATTAAGTTCTAATGCATGCTACAACATGGAAGAATCTTGGAAAAGTGATGCTGAGCGAAATAAGCCAGACACAAAAGGACAAATATCATATGATCCCACTTACATGAAGTATCCAGACTAGGAAAATGCATAGAGTCTGAAGTTTATTACTGGTTACTAGGGGTAGGAAAGGGGAAGACATTGCTTAAGGGGTACTGAGTTTCTGTCAAGGGTGAAGAAAATAATTTGGAAATGGATGGTGGTGATGGTTGCACAACATGGTGAATGCAATTAATGTCACTGAATTGTACATGTAAAAATGGTTGAAATGGTAAATGTTAACATAATAAAAGTTATGAAAGCTATCTATTTACCTACATGGAAAATATTAAACTTATATTGAAGTATAACCTACATACAGTCATATGCACAAATCTTAAGCGTGTACCTGGATGTATTTTTACATAGGTGTACACCTGAGTAACCACCACTCAGATCCAGTGTAAAACTTTCCCAGCCCCAGCAGGCAGCCATATGCCCACTTAATAGTCCCTGGAAAGGTAAGCAACATCTGGGCTTTTTTCACTATGGATTTGTTCTGCCTGACATGGAACCCCACATCAATGGAATCACACAGTATGTACTCCCGTGTCTGGCTTCTCTCACTCAGTATCATCCCAGGGAGATTCATCTAGCTTGTTCCACATAACTGTAATTCATTCTTTTTTTGCTACTGTGTGTAGTATTCCAAGTATTCCACTGCACGGGTATGCTACAATTTATTTATCTATTTGCATGTTGTTCGGCATTTAGGTTGTGTTTAGTTTGAGCTATTCTAAATATCATAGCTATGAATATTCATGTGAAAGTCTTTTGGCAGACATGGGCCCTCATTTCTCCTGGGTATATACCCAGAAGTGGAACTGCTGGGCCAGAGGATATGACCCATAGGATACAGACACTGCCATACAATTTTCCCAAGTGGTGGTACCATCAGCAATAGACTGAGAAGAAAAGGAAAAAAAAAAAGAAGAGGAGGAGTACAATATTGTGAATAAGATAGCATATATAGAACAAAAAGGAAAAGAATATGTATTTGCTTATACATGCCAGGCACACCTCTGGCACAATACACAAAAACTGGTGACGTGAATTGCCTTTGGGTTCGGGAACTGTGTGGCTGAAGACAAGGATGGATGGGAGCCTCGTTACTGAATACCCTTTGGTACCTTCTTAAACTGTGGACCACGAGTATGAATCGTTGGCTCAGTGGAGGGAAAACCAGTCCTGATCAAGCCTGGTGGTTAGGGAGGGTGAATGAGGCAGGGGAGGCTTCATGTGTAAGGGATGCTCCAAGAAACCAAATGG